AGGTATTTTATTTTGAAACATGTTTTATAAACTATCTTGATGTATAAGTGACATGCCAAAGTATATATGCATTTATGTATAATTTGAAGAGTTTGTCATATAAACCCATGAAACCACCTGATATGGTTTGTCTCTGTCCCCACCCAAATCTCATTTTGAATTCCTATGTGTTGTGGGAGGAACACGGTGGGAAGTAATTGAATCATGGGGGCAGGTCTTTCCCATACTGTTCTCATGATAGCGAATAAGTTTCACGAGATCTGATGGTTTTATAAAGAGGCATTTCCCTGCACAAGCTCTTTTTTTGCCTGCTTCTAACCACCTAAGATGTGACTTGCTCCTCCTTGACTTCTGCCGTGATCGTGAGACTTCCCCAGCCACATGGAACTGTAAGTCCAATTAAATGTCTTTCTCTGGTAAATTACCCAGTCTCAAGTATGTCTTTATCAGTAGCGTGACAATGAACTATTACACCACCCTAATCATGATCATGAACATATTCATGATTTACCTCATGCTGTTTTACAATCTGCCTGCACTTTCTAAGGCCTTCAAGAATCCAGTGATTTACTTTCACTGTAAGAGAATAGTTTGTGTTTTCTAGAATTTTATGTGAATGGAATCATAAAATATTTACTCCTCTTTTCCTAATGTTTTTCATACTGCATAATTATTTTAGGATTTAGCAATATTGCTTATGTGAATAGTTCATTTGTATTGCTGAGTAATATTTATTCTGTGGATATGCCACAATTTGGATAAATAATTGGATGTATTCCAGTTTGGGGCTGTTCTATGAACATAGGCATATAATTCTTAAGATGCATAAATGTTTTATTTCTCCTGTGCCAATAGTATAGTGTATGTGAATGCTTCACTTTTAAAGGAACTAACGAACTATAACCTAACTATACCATTTGCGCTCCCATCAACAGTATGTGAGCCTTCCTGTTTCTCTACATTCTTGCCACTACTTGGTATGGTTAATCTTTTTAATTTTAGTTGTTTTAATAGTTGTATACTGGCATCTTTCTGTGATTTTACTGCATTTTTCTTCTATTTTATGGTATTGAACGTTTTGTGTCTATTTGCCACCTGTATATCTTCTTTGGAAAAATGTTTGTTAATGTCTTTGCCTATTTTTAAATGAA